TTCACACACTGCACCATGATAAAGGCCCTTTAAATTAATATATGTGTATTGCAAATGTGTGAGCACTATGCTGTACCGCTATAACGGCAGTATAAAGTGGAAATGGATTTGTTAGCTGTACTATACCCATGATGCTCTGACGCAGAGCTTGGTCCTTAATTCACCATTTTCCATCTGAGACATCTGGTTTCATCTGTCGGATCAACTTGGCCGACAAAGTGCAGTAATTAAGCTCTAATTGAATAATACGGCAATATAGCGGTGGAGTTGATTCTGCATCCATTAGACTTAAAAAAGAGAATGGCTGCATCTTAATAATCTAGTTTAAAAGTACAGACGTGGCTTGTGTTCAATTAACTTTGCATTAGGTTTTTCAGATAAACTTTAGAGCAGGGAGAGTTTTCACCTTCACTAAAATGATTCTGAGAAGCAGTGTTGCTTCAGTGCTGCATTCACAGTGCGGTTAATGAGTAATTGAAAGGTGATGATTCAGTTGTTGTTCTGGCTCTGAACCCCGCACACTGGAATTAAAATGACACAATAATGTTACATTCAATTAGAGCTCACTACTCAGAATTTCCAGCTTCCGTATAGGAAAAAAACAAAGAAAACACACCCTGAACTGGGATGTCCTACTCAGAAAGTTGGAAAGGTGTCCTCAGCAGGTTCACCCCCATGTTCCCAGGATTCCTAGGTACTGTACACTGGCTTCACAAGCATAGTTTGAACTATAAAATTTGCTTAGCTAGCTAGTTAGCTCACTGAGGCAAGCCCAGCTGGGGCAAAACAGAGCCCTGGGAAATTTAAAGCCCTGGGAACACAGAGCCAGAGCAGTGGAAACAAAGAAATTTGGGAACAATGCAAATTATATTACCCCATTTCCAAAAAAGTGAATAGTACAAAGACAACACATCAAATGTTGAAACCTAGAAATTTCATTGTTTTTTGAAAAATACATTTTACCTATTCCATCATGGATGCTGGCTTTTGAACTGTATGCTGATACTAAGCCTGACGCTCTTTAGTTCGGATGCAGAGTCCATGATTTCTGAAAAGAATTAAAAATTTTGATTCGTCAGACCACAGGACACTTTTCCACTTCACCTCATTATTGTGTGCCCAGAGCCCAGAGAAGGCGGTGGTGTTTCTAGATCCTATTTATCTGTGCAGGCAACAGTATTATTAGGTATGTGAATGGCATGCAGGTGAAGAAACCATTGGATTACTAACAACCAGAAAGACATCACCAACTACCTTTACAGGTCGGGGTGAAGGTATCACAATGCATCGTTTGAAAAAGACTTCAAGAGCAGAAATATAGAAGCCATCTCAGGATGTAAACCACTTATCAGCCATAAGTACTTGAAATCCAGATTTGAATTATATGGACTTATAAGACAAGAACTAACTTCTACCAAAGTGATGGGAAAACAATGCATGTTGAAAGAAAGGATCTGCGCATGAAGCAAAACATACACGCCCATCTGTCAAGCATGGTGGAGGTAGTGTCATGGCTTGGGCTTGCATGGCTGCTTCTGAAACAGGCTCACTAATCTTTATTGACAATGATAGTAACAGCAGAATGTATTCATAAGTCTAGAGAAACATTCCCTCTGCCAATTTACAGAGAAATGCATCCAAACTATTCAGGAAGAACTTCATCCTGCAGCATGACAGTGACCCAAAACACACTGCCAACATAACAAAGGACATCATGAGGGGAAAAAAGTGAAATGTTTTAGTCAATTACCAGACCTTAACCCAACTGAGCATGTATTTCACCTCCTGAAAAGGCAAATGAAGGAAGAAATCCCCCAAAACAAACAACAACTGAAAGAAGCTGCTGTTAAAAGCCTGAAAAAGCACCATAAAAGAAGAAAGCAGCAGTTTGGTGATGTCAGTCAGTCACCAGTTTGACACAGTTATTTCAAGCAAGGAATATGCAACTAATTATTAAGAGGTTTTACTTTAATTTACTTTAAGACTGTTTGTTCTTATACATTTGCTTGCCTATAATTGGGAGATCTGCCAATAAAGGGTGCCAAGTTCTAAGTTGTTTAACACATCTGGATATAAAAAATCAAGAAAAAAATGCAGAATTTCTAATCTATCTTCTAATATACATCTGTAGATGGATAGAAATGTTGGGTCACCGTTTATCATAAAGTTCATTAAAAGAGGCTGTAGAGTTTTGGAACAAAGTCTGATGGACAGATGAGATGAAGATGAACCTGAACCAGAGGGATAATCAGAGAAATAGGAGAGCAGCTCATGATTCAAAGCAAACTACCTGATCATCTAAAATATATTGCAGGTAATGTCATGTATGCTGTCAATGGAACTGGATGTAATTGAGCCAAAGAGAACAGAAGTATCGTAACTGCTCATATCTGACCAAACATTCTGAAATGGTCTAGCCAGTAGTATAACCTGAATTGTGCTAATGTTTCAGTCAGTCTTATGAAATGCATGTTGCTTATATGGCATCAAGCTTACTAAAAATTTGGCTCCTGCCAGCGTGTCAAGAGTCTGTTGAACTGAAGGGAGCATATACTTCTCTCTAAATATGGCCTTAGTCAGCTTGGTTAGGGTTATGCATATGCAGACAGTTATATTCTTCTTTGGAACTACCACAGTGCCCAAGCACTGTTCTTCTTTGGAACTACCACAATGCCCAAGCACCTGTTGGTTGGCTCCTCCATGCTACTGGCCCTGATGATCTCCATGTGCTGGGTTTCTTCTTTATCTTTGTGCATGAGCAGTAAAAGAATCCACCTCGGAGTCTTAAAGGAGTAGGGCACTGCAGTTTAAGCTTACTGGCATGAGGCTGTTGGACAGCTGTTGCCTAGCAAAACATTAGCAACCACTTGCCTAACCACATGAAATTACCATATAAAACCCTTAAATGGCCAGGGCCCAAAGTTTTATTACATACCTCTATAACCTAAGAATAGCTTAGCCAGTTTGCATTGAAGTCCCTGTAGTTACTGAGTAATAAGCCTTAGTATGTAAACAATCAAAATCTATCTACAACTGATTTAGCCATTTAAGTGTTTTCAGCTGGCATCAACTTAAAGTTCCCCCTTAAACTTTCCCCTCTAGTTAACCTTATATAGTTCTAATCTAGTAAGTAACTATTCTGTATGCAGAGGATGGCCTGTTTTATTATTCTATGTTTTCTGCTGTTTTAATGCATTAAAGCAATAAATATTTAACACCATTAAATATTAACAGGTTTACTGCATTTTCCTAGTTTGACCTTTTGCATAACTTGTAGTTCCACCTTGAACGCCAAGCTACTCACATGCTGTTGCTATGACTTTGCAACCATAGTCCATTTAAAAAAATTGAAACGGCTTTCAATGGCTGTCTTGATAACATTTCCCACTACTGCCATGCTATAATTTTATCAGTGAAGTACATTAAGTCATTTGCATGCAAGCCACGGCACTGATGGCGGCAGTATCAATAATATCAGTAACATTAGCTCTGGAGGATGCCTCGGCAGACTTCACTCATCAAGTAGCAATTATGGTGAGGGTGAAAAAGTTTTCAAGGACAACACTGTAAAACAACACTTTAATGGAAAAGGCTACAGAGTCCTGGCAAAGACCTTCAACATCACCAATTGGTTAGATTGTATTCAATCAGAAAGTCCTTAGAATCACAGCTAATCGTCCCTGGACAGATTAGCTTTCACAACGTGTTCTCAAACTATTAATAAAGACAGTAAGAGAGAAGCCAACAGTCCCTCGAAAAGAGTTAGAGGATGATAAGAAACAACAGTTACACCCAGAACAGCATTTCCTGACTTGAATCCCACTGAAAATTGAAATCGAAGTCCATCGAAGTCCATCAGAGCGACACTCCTTGGGGGGCTGAAGATGGTTTGCCGAGAGAAGTGGGCCAGAATTAAACCACAGTTCTCCAAAAAGCTAATTACTTCTTACTGTAGACATCTTGAATTTGTAATTGCCTGCAATGGCTTTGCAACAAGTGTAATGTTATTAATTTGTGGCATCTGAATACTTTTTTTCCATATCAGTTTATCTTTTTATAAACATATCTTTGTATACACTGATTAGACATAACATTATGACCACCTCCTTGTTTCTACACTCATTGTCCATTTTATCAGCTCCACTTACTGTATAGGTGCACTTTGTAGTTCTACAGTTACAGACTGTAGTCCATCTGTTTCTCTGCATACTTTGTTAGCCCCCTTTTAAACACTGTGTCCACTCACTGTCCACTCTATTAGACACTCCTACCTTGTCAGTCCACCCTGTAGATGTAAAGTCAGAGACGATAGCTCATCTGCTGCTGCACAGTTTGTGTTGGTCATCCTCTAGTCCTTCATCAGTGGTCACAGGACGCTGCCCACAGGACGCTGTTGGCTGGATATTTTTGGTTGGTGGACTATTCTCAGTCCAGCAGTGACACTGAGGTGTTTAAAAACTCCAGCAGCACTGCTGTGTCTGATCCACTCAGACCAGCACAACACACACTAACACACCACCACCACGTCAGTGTTACTGCAGTGCTGAGAATGATCCACCGCCCATGGGGGTCCTGACTGCTGAAGAGCAGGGTAAAAGGGGGATAACAAAGTATGCAGAGAAACAGATGGACTACAGTCTGTAACTGTAGAACTACAAGAGCACCTATATAGTGTATAGTGTAAAATATAGTGTAAATATGAAGTGGATATATGCACTGGAACTTCATTAAATACAAAAAAAATGTCTAAATACTTCTCTTCTTACACTATAAATCATTTTTATCTGATAAAATGTTACATCAACACAGTTCAGTATTTTAGGTTATTTTCTGTCGACAGTAAATATGGAATCAAAAATTTGCCAATCTGAATCGTCAATTCATTTGAAAAAAAAAAAAAGAAATGGTCCAAATGCTCAAAGAAAGACAATAAAAATCCACCATTGTCATCTTAAACAGATTCACTTATTATGTTGTGTTCTGGTGGCAGCGTGTCCTACCGGATGACGAAATCCCCTGCGTCGATGAGAGGTCCGTAACCGGATGAGAGGAGATTTCCGGAATTTCCGACCACAGAGCAAGTCCTGCAGCGGCTCGGCCCAGAGTCCTGATAACGGTCCTCACCCGGAATCACGGTGAACAGCTTGTCCAGCACCATGCTCAGGTTGGCTGGGTTAGTCTCTGACTGCAGCCACTAGATGAATTAGGAATTAGATTAGATTAGATAGATAGATAGATAGATAGATAGATAGATAGATAGATAGATAGATAGGCTATGGGTCTGAAAGGATATGTAGCTGTCAAGAAGAACCTCACTGAGAAAAGGAGACGGACACATCAAACAAAGAAGCTGAACAATGGACTGACCACCCCAGAGTCCAGACCTCAACACCACTGAATGGGTTTGATTACTTCAGAAAATGATCAACCAGCTTCTAAGACTGAACTTTGGAGGTGTGGAAAATATCCCTGCAGGTTTCTTTGAGAAACTGAAAGTGAGTCTCCTGAAAAGAATGGAAGCTGGAATGAAGGTAAAAAGTGGACACAATAAATAGTGAATAGCTACATTTAGATATTGCATTTAGTTGTTGAGGCTTCTGTGTAATTTTCTGTTGTTTTGAATGTTTTTCATGACATTGAAAAATGAAAAATCTGTACTTCATGGCTATTTTGACTAGAAATGCACAGTAATATATATATATATAATATATATATATATATATATATATATATATATATATATATATATATAATATCAGCTACACTACAAGGTTTACATCCCAGAATAGTATCCTTCATGATCTCCTTCCTGGTTATATTATACATCTTACATGTAAGTCCATATCCTACATTTAATTGGTATTTAACTTGTTCCTGAGGTCTATCTTTGACAATGTGTGGTTTTATGTACCCAAACAGCCCCTAATGCAATTTCATGTGATCATCCTCCAACTTCCTTTTAACCCTTAGAATTAAGCCACTATTTTAGTGTGTAATTAAGATTCATATATAATCTCTGCTCTCATTCAAAAAGCACTCCTTATAACAAAAACAATGCTAATAACTAGCTGGAATGGGTGGAGCTAAACTGATATAGGCTGAATGTGTGGAAACACGTGATGAGCCAAAACATTAAGATCACCTGCTCAATGCACTTTTGGTCTTCTGCATCCATCAAAACAGCTCCAACCTGCTAAGGCAAGCATGCTACAAGACCTCTAAACGTGCCCTGTGGTATCTGGCACCAAGACATTAGCAGCAGATCCTGTAAGTCCTGTTAGTAGCAAGGTAGAGCAGGCCTGACTCCAGCACATCTCACAGGTGCTTAAGATTATGATTAAACTCTCCACCAAGCATGTAGCCATGTGTAGGCCTTGCTGTGTGTGGCCATACCAGGCCTGGTCATAGGCCCATCCATCAAATGGGCAAAGAATATTTATTAAGCTGCAATTTTAAGATAATAAAATTGGATTTCTTTTACGTGAGTGCTGTCATTTTATTACGCTCAATCAAATCACTACACTCTCTACCTCTTTCTTAAATGTGTGAGGTATAGTGCAATCAACCAATCCTAAGCTCCACTCTGTTTTCCACTGACCACTGCTTAGCAGCTGTTGCTACCTGCCTTTACCACAAACATTCAATTTGTTATCAGCACAGCAGTGTTTGAATTCGAAGGTCCAGTGGTGGTCAAAAAATGTAGGACCTGTTAAAGTGAGATCTGTATAGAGTACAGTACGTTGTTTTCCAAAGCCAATTTCCAAATTGTAAAAAAGATCCAGAGAATTTGGAGGCCGGGGCAACACCTTGAATTCTTCATCATGTTCCTCAAACCGTTCCTGAACAGTGTGTGCAGTGTGGCAGGATGTACTATCCTGCTGAACGAGGGCACTGCCGTTGGGGAATACCAATGCCATGAAGTGGTGTACAGATCCGCTACCATGTTTAGGTAAGTGACACATGTCAAATTGATGTCCACATGAATGTCCAGACCCAGAGTTTCCCAGTGAAACACTGGCCAGAGCATCACACTCCCTCCACCGGCTTGTCTTTTTCCCATAGTGCACCCTAGTGCCATCACTTCTCCACGCAAATGGCACATATGTACTCAACTGTCCATTAAATGTAAAAGCAAACAGGACTCATCTGATCAGGTGACCTTCCTCCATCACTCCAAGGTCCAGTTCCAACACTCAGGTGCTCAGGTCTATACGCTTTTGGCAGTGAACAGAAGTCAGCATGAACATTCTGACCAGTCTGCAGCTATGCAGCTCCAAACGCAACAGGGTGTGATGGACTTGTGTTGTGACACATTTCTCCTGTAACCATCATTACAAATTTTGGTGACTTGCACCACAGTTTGGTTTGGACCAAATGGGATAGGCTTTGTTGCCCTTGTACATTCATGCCTCAGAATCGGAACACCCTGTTGCTGGTTCGATGTTTATCCCTCCTTGGACTACTGTCAGTAGGTTTATCCCTCCTTGGACCACTGTTGGTAGGTTTATCCCTCCTGGGACCACTGTCGGTAGGTTTGTCCCTCCTTGGACCACTGTCGGTAGGTTGGTCCCTCCTGGGACCACTGTCGGTAGGTTTGTCCCTCCTGGGACCACTGTCGGTAGGTTTGTCCCTCCTTGGACCACTGTCGGTAGGTTTGTCCCTCCATGGACCACTGTCGGTAGGTTTATCCCTCCTTGGACCACTGTCAGTAGGTTTGTCCCTCCTGGGACCACTGTTGGTAGGTTTGTCCCTCCTGGGACCACTGTTCGTAGGTTTGTCCCTCCATGGACCACTGTTCGTAGGTTTGTCCCACCTTGGACCACTGTCGGTAGGTACTCACCACTGCTAAAAGTGGTCAAAATGTGTTGTTCTCATCATGTAAGTAAATGAGATCACAAAAGTGATTTCAGAGGAGGCTGTATTTGCAGTTTAGTGTCCACATATGTATTGTATGAACTGAGGAGTTAACCCTTTCATGCACAACATGGGTCAAAAGTGACCTGACTGAGTTTTAATTTTCTATATCTTTGGAATAAATTCATTTTATCATTCAGGATTCTATGAGTTCCTCAATTAACTTGTTTTTGATCATCGCAAATCCTTATTTTGATATTGTTTTCTTACTTTTGAATAAAAATCATTTTACCCTTCTAATGCAAAACATGGGCCAAAAGGGACCCATATTGATTTCTTATGTAATTTCAAGCATGACTGAGTGCCTCTTTGCTAGATCTTTGAAGTAAATGTATTTTGCCATTTAATATTCCAGGTATTAATTAAAAAAATTGTATTCAATTGACCACAAATCTTTGTTTTCATTCGTCTTTTCTTACTTTATTAACAAAATTAATTATTGTATTACTATAAGTTTACACACTCGTGTGAAAAATAACCCATGTATGCAGGTGTGATTAAAAAATACACATACCGAATAATACATTTAATACTTGAAATATGTTTACTTGTCAATAAAATAAAAGAAAGCAAAACTGATAAAATAAAATCAAACAGGTATGGCACACATTGCCATGTCAGTGCTTACGTGGCAATTTGCACTGTACACATTTGATTTTCTTCAATCAGTTTTATTTTCTTTTATTCGGTCACATTCACCACAGTTCACTAGAGTTCACTGCTGTTACACTACAGTTCAACATCAGTGTTATCGGTCATCAGTGATACATGTATAGTATGTGTGACAAAGTGACAAGCACATTTTACATATTGAATGTATTACTGTTTGGCTAACTTGACCACTTGGAAAATTAAATGATGAAATTAATTGATTTCAAAAGATATAGCAAAGAAACACTCATGCATGTAATAACATAGGAAATTAATATGGGTCATTTTTAACCCATGTAGTGCCTTAAAAGGGGTCTGCATAGCTGCATATGCATCAAAGGGTTAATGGTATGTTTTGAAACCTTGACATCTAACCGTGTTAAGCATCATATGTGAACTCATCAGCAAACCTGAAACTCAAATGTATAGTTTGTACACAGAATTTCACAAGCAGGCACTCATGTACACACATAAACATATAGAGTATGTACATACACATACCTGCATATCTAAAATTCAATTATGCAGCAGAAGTCATACAGTCATAAATTACACGTACACACGCAGATTTCCACACTGACACAAAACAAAACTGCTTAGTTTGGCTCCAGTCCAGCTGAATGGTGTCCAAGCTGTGGTATGTCTGTTGCCTTACAAGCATTTCTCATAAAGATCACTAACAGATGCAGGTCACCTAACTTACTGTTACATCAGTTACTATCTACATAAACGTCAGCATTCCTGTTCCTATACCATATCCTGGTTCAAGCTTCAGTTAACTGATCTCTCCACCAAGCATGTAGCCACGGGTCGGCCTTGCTGTGTGTGGCCATACCAGGCCTGGTCATAGGCCCATCCATCAAATGGGCAAAGAATATTTATTAAGCTGCATTTTTAAGATAATAAAATTGGATTTCTTTTATGTGAGCGCTGTCATTTTATTACGCTCAATCAAATCACTACACTCTCTACCTCTTTCTTAAATGTGTGAGGTATAGTGCAATCAACCAATCCTAAGCTCCACTCTGTTTTCCACTGACCACTGCTTAGCAGCTGTTGCTACCTGCCTTTACCACAAGCATTCAATTTGTTATCAGCACAGCAGTGTTTGAATTTGAAGGTCCAGTGGTGGTCAAAAAATGTAGGACCTGTTAAAGTGAGATCTGGATAGAGTACAGTATGTTGTTTTCCAAAGCCAATTTCCAAATTGTAAAAAAGATCCAGAGAATTTGGAGGCCGGGGCAACACCTTGAATTCTTCATCATGTTCCTCAAACCATTCCTGAACAATGTGTGCAGTGTGGCAGGATGTACTATCCTGCTGAATGAGGGCACTGCCGTCGGGGAATACCAATGCCATGAAGTGGTGTACAGATCCGCAACCATGTTTAGGTGGGTGGGATATGTCAAATTGATGTCCATATAAAGGTCTGGACGCAGAGTTTCCCAGCAGAGCACTGGCCAGAGCATCACACTCCCTACACTGAATAGTCTTTTTCCTACAGTGCACCTTGGTACCATTACTTCTCCAGGTAAACTGCACACATGTACCCAGCTGTCCATTCAACATAAAAGAAAATGGGACTCATGGATCAGGCGACCTCCTTTTCTATGTGCTTTTGGCAGTGAA